CTTTGAATTTTAAATAGATGAATATTGCTAAGATTGTATGAGAATCACGAAAGGGTACTCTCAAAGATTTAGAAAGCTGCAATGCAGGACCATCATTATTTTTTCCTTTATCCCGCAATTATTGACCATATGTAGTTGTACTCTTTATCGCCTGACGACCAAAACGTATCACAGTATGTTAGCAAGAGATGGACAAATTAATTAAGGTGTTGAAGACAGCCTTCGAATTCCCCCAATTACCCCTCGGAAAGAATTTAACAAGGTTACGTTGAACCACTGTTTCACTATTCCTAAGCGTCAAACTGGTTTCCAGACGCAGAGTAAAAAAAAAGATAAATCGTGTATTCATATTTAGACCGGTTTTTCAATTTTTTTTTCTACGAAACCAGCAGGATTAATTGAAGTGAGTCACTCGTGTATCTCTTTGATTCAGAATCTGAGGTTATGGAAGTATCCGATGAGGTTCTCAAGGAAATGCGATACAGCTCGTTTACTTCGTGTTCGGAATAAAGCACCTTAATTATGATTTGCGCTACGATTTAATTCGAAAATTAGATGGCACTTCTGTTGATTGTAATGATATTTTCAGCTTGATGTTTCTTATAGAAAGAGAGCATCACGAACTTGTGAGAACTAGTGTAACAAAACAAGTGAGTAGGAAAGTAAGGAAGTGAGTGAGTAAGAGAATGAGTACGTAAGTACTTAAGTACATTTACATAAGAGAGTAAGTGAGTAAGTGAGTAAGTAAGTAAATAAGTAAGTGACTAAGTAAGTAAGTAAGTAAATAAGTAAGTAAGTAAGTAAGTAAGTAAGTAAGTAAGTAAAACTTTATTTACACAGGGTAGCCCATTCAGCTCAAGGCTGGTATCCATAGGGGCCCTGTTTCTTAAAAATAAATTACATCAAAATTCTCAATTATTTATATATATGACTAGGATTTTAAAACTACATTAACAGTGTAATACTACAAAGCCAAAACACAATTAAGACCTAAAATAGTAGATAAAATATCAAGTTAAGATAAAAGAACTAAAATAGTAGATAAAATATCAAGTTAAGATAAAAGAAATGTCTTGCTCTGGGGCAGAACGTTTGATAAAAATTTCTTTGGCAGTAAAAAGAAAGGTCCTTTTCCCAAAATTTTGTTTTACTTTTGGTAGGGATAGCCTCATACTTTGCCTTGTGGAATAGTTGTGAATATTCAAAAATCTGGTGAAATATGATGAAAAGTAACTAGGAGCTAATGAGTGAAGACAAAGAAAAACGATTTTAGCCTTGTGATGATAGCGTCTACTGGAAAGATTTGCCCATTTCAGCTGCTCTATTGCTTCAGATGAGTAAGAGCAACGTGTAATAATCCGTACAGATCTATTTTGTAAGCGCTGTAGTCAATCTATATCTTGCTGTAGAAGGTTACTCCAGGCAATGTCACAGTAATCAAGGGAAGGATTAAAGCATTATGAAAAAGTGTTGCTGCCACCTTCGTGACAAAACTTCTAATACGGCCCAGAATATTAACTCTTGACACCACCTTTTTGACACACATAGCCTTCCAAGTCATAAAATTGTCAAACACCACGCCTTGGTATTTAAAAGTAGTTTCACAAGATATGGACTTTCCGAAAAGATTAAGATTTAAAATACAATCGCGCTCTTTATGCCTTCGAGATGTAAATAGTACACACTTAGTTTTTGAAACATTGAGAACAAGATTGTTGTCTTCTAACCATTCAGATAGACACTGAAGATCTTGGTTAATGTAAAAGGTTAAATTTTCTACTGTTTGGCCAGCAAGATATAAAACTGTGTCGTCAGCGTACATATTTACAAAACAGTGTTTGACACAACATGGTAAATTGTTAATGTAGACAATGAATTACTGGGGTGCAAGGATGGACCCCTTTATTTCAAAAGACAGCCTCCACTGGGATGCAGATGGATCTATTGTTTTTTGGTGATGAGTTTTTATTGTGGAAGGAAGTTCGAAAAGTGCTTTAATAGAATTTTGTGCTTTGAAGTCTGTTTTTGAAAGTTTCTCGCATCCGCTGTGTCTACATGTTGGGCAGCCGGACAAGTTTTTGAAAATACTCCGAGTCCGGTCGTCAGAAATTTTTACAGAATTTTTCCTGAAATGTTATTTGAAGCTTGTGAGGATGATTAGACATTTGGGAGAGATTTCCATATAAGCCCATACTATTCTAAAACAAAACTGCTGTGTCAAAGATAATCTTTTGTTTTGCCCTTGTTTTCAATAAAAAAAGACTGAATGCCCATTTAGATGCTTTGTTTGGTATCCATACATACATACATACATACATACATAAACCCCTGAAGAGTGAAGCGATTCACAAAACAGGCTTGTCGGGAAATGTAGTTACGTCCTTTTTTCCTTTCATAATATTTACATACATACATATATACATACATACATTTTATTGGGTTTTGGGATAAAAGTACAGTAACATGCCTGCGGGTAGCTAAGCTAATCTAGGTGGGTCATGTTTACAGGAAGTAGATACAATTAAATACAGCCAAAAGTAACAAGAGAACGAAAAAAGCTAGAATTGACAACAATGACTAGAGACTACTGATAAACTAATGATATTACTAATATTAAATGACAACAGTCTTGACAGGAAATTACTGATACATAAAACCATATAATTGAATACACATCAACTGATCAATCAAGAGGAAGATAAATTCAACTTAACTTTTTGAACGATATCTGGAAGATCGATATAACAATCTTCTGAAGCTAGGATCTCAAAAAGTGTTTGTTTTATTTTCCTCTTGAAGGCATTTTTTGAAAGTTTTCTAAAAGATACAGGCATTTCATTCCATATTTTAGTTCCGACTCTAGAAAATGAATTCACTTGAATTGAGAGTCTGGAACTTTGTGCGTAAAAGTTATTAGAGGCAGAGCATTGAGTATTATAAGAATGAATATCAGAGACATCTCGAAAAAGATTTTGAATGTTTCCAGGAGCATTACTGTATCTTATTTCAAACATAAGGATTAGCTAAATGCTCATAATACAAAAATTTTAATGGTAAAACAGTGGCATTGATAAATAAAGGAATTATATGCTGATTTCACTCTCAGAAATAGATAAAGCGAAGAGCTCGCTTTTGAAGCTTGAGGAGCTTTTCAAGGTACGATTTATATGCTTGACCCCAGGCCGTCAAACCATAGGTTTGACGGCCTGGGGTCTGAAGCAGGCCCAAATAATATCCTATTCTTGTTATGAATAGTGATCTCCTCACAAAGGATCTTGATAGCTTAAGTTTGAAGGTGAACAAGAGTAGAAAAAATTAAAGTAAATGAAACTGATAAAATAACAGAAATGTATTGAAGATCAAAATCCTACTTAGGATACAAACTTGCAACATTTGACTCAATAATTATCTGAAAATGACAAGCAAGACAATTTTGTCTTATGGTAGTCATGAATGTTTTTGTTCCCAGGATGTATTGTTTAGTGGGGAAGATTGGCATCTTTTAAAAGTTTTGAAATTTGTTACAAGCTTAGCACATGGTGACTCCTTGTTATTTAACAAACCTTTAAGCCAAGATACACACAGAAAAATAAGGTAACAAAAGTGCATTTAGATCCTTGTGAATAAATTTAATAATTGCTTGGTTGTAAAACAAACCTTGGTCTGTTGTGGTGATTAGCCCGTTTTCTTTGGTTAAAATACCACCAGGACCTGGAACTTCACTGAAAAAACCGGGAACAAGCACTGGGCATGGAGCCCCTACTCCTGGAGTTAGGTAATAAAAAGTAGTAACATGGTCCTTTTTTTATCAAGATTTGTGACAGCTTTGCATTTTTCTGTTTGTCATTGTAACAATCCGAATACATATAGTTTAAAGCTATGTTTAATGCTTGCATTCCAGACCCATGTCCCAATCAGGACGTCCAGTTAGTGGATTTGTTAGACCTGGAACACAAAGTGGAAGACCTGGAACCATGGAACAAGCCATTAGAACTCCTCGTACTGCTCAAACAGCAAGGTGTACAGTAGTATGCTTTGTACTCAACAGAAGTTATATTTAATCTTTGAAGGAAGTTTAGAGAGAATTGAAGAAAATTAAAATTAAGGCCAAAATATATTCCAATGAACACTTTGAAATGCTTAAACATATGACAAGGCTTGACACTAACTTTTCAATGTACTAGCCAAGTAGCAAGTGACCAATTAAATGTTACAACAATTTTAGTTTGTTTACTAGCCAAACGGGCTCATGCAAATTGAAAACCACCAGCCAAAACTGAATTTTTTACTAGTCTGTGGCTAGTTGGCTACTGTTAGTATTGAGCCCTGAGACGAGGTGGCTAAATTGATAATCTTTGTGGTTCATTTAACTTCTCAGACCAGTGACAAGTGCATCTGGTCGTCATGTTCGTCTTGGTACTGTAAGTATGCATCTTGCATGTGATATAAAATAATTGAAACTTGTTGTCTTTGATTAGGAAAACCTTATTTTAGAACCTGTCATACGTTTTACTCTCCAGAAAGTATTCTGAAGTGTTGGTTAACGTGGTATCCATGCAAGTCATACAAAATTTCAAAATACATGTACCCTAGTCGATAAGCAAGTCTCACTTTTAAATAATAAAGCTATTTTAGTTTCATTATTGGATGTAAAAGATCAAAACAAACTTTCTGGGCATTATGACTCTAGAATTAATCCAAGAAAAGACAACCCACGTGGAAACTTCTTTTATGAATTTTTTTTTAGGCTTCCATGCTGTCACAACCTGATGGACCATTTATTAACATTGCAAAGCTCAACTTGTCTAAATATGCACAGAGGCAAAATCTTGCAAAGGTATGGTGAGCACATAAATATAGGTATATCAACTAAGTTGAAATTGTAAATTGGCCACCGTAACTAGTTAGAAAGCTGATGTTTCAAGTGTTAGCCCTTCGTCTGACGAAGGGCTAACAAACCAAACGTCAGCTTTTTTACTCCTTACGGTGGCCAATTTACGATTTCAACTTAGTTGATATACCTTGTTACCCCCACCGATGCAGCACCACAGTTTCTTTAGAAACTTTCACCCTTTATACATAAATATAGTGCTTAGAGATAAAAAGACAAACAACAGAAAAATAGAAAAAAGATTTTTGTGTAAAATGTCTTCATTAAAAACAGAATTTTATCAGGATGTTAGTTCTTAGCCCTTTCCTTAATAAAGGAAGTGATCATCAATTTAGGAAGCTCCAGACTATCTAACAAATTCTCTTTGCTGTACTAGAGGAAGTTTAAAAAAGACAATGCGAAGAATACTAAACCAATGTGAGGGTGTAAAAACATCTGGACCCAGTTCAAACGGAGGAGAACTAGTCTTTTGGTTTCATTTTTTTTCAGGTTTTGTTTGAATATATTTTCCACCATGAAAATGATGTGCGAAATGTAAGTAATGGAGGAAAAATAAAATACGAAAATAAGAATAGCACTATATTATAATTGTTAGGTAATGAATATGTATCCTGTGTGTATGCAGTTGTTGTTGGAAAAGTGCATGTAACAATCTGCAATCGTGGTATTCTGGGTATCTAGTTATTAATGAATTATTGTAAGTGAAACAAATAAATGTGGACAAAGGAACCAATGAACAGAGGATAAATACCAACATGCATGTGGATATGAGAGGAACAAAAGAACAGAATATTACGTTGTAAAAATTTTTTCTTTAGGTTAACTTGAATTTGCTCTTGCTGAGTTTACATTGATTTCATTGTTTCTAAGGGTAACTGATTTTAGTTCTTATTTTTTTCATTTTTCATCAAGTTTAGAGTAAAAAGTTAGTCATAGGAATAAAAAAAAAAAAATTCCTTCAAACCTGCTCTGCTTCTTCCTTACAATGCTGTTTTGCCTGAAATTCTCAGGCCAAGGAACTGCAACCTGAAAAAAAAAAATTAATAAATAAATAAACTTTAATAGCTAACACAATTACTGGTAACCCAGTAGTTTACATTGTGGGCTGTATTAAGAAGAATTTTTAACTAATTGCTTAAAAATCCCCACTGACAGAAGGCAGACCAGTGGGCTATTTACAGAGCGCAGCCAAGGAGTTGAACAAGGGGCAACCGAGAACAAATCCAGTGAGTGGCAGGGTGGAGGACTTGAACCCGGGCCCACTGGATTTCAAGTCCAGCACCCTAACCTCTCGACCACGCCGCCTCTTAAAAAACTACCCAGAATGCCTATTGGGGTTGTTGCATGCACTTGCACTTTTTTTGACAAACTTTCTGTAAACAGCTGTATATCAATTGTTCTAAAAATATTAGCAAGCATAATCATATTGAATGCCAATTATTCAGAATCAGGGACTGTTTCCTTAGCATCTTCATCGTGTTCTTTGGTAACCAAAATATTGGCACTTCTAAAGTACCAAAGTACCATGAACAAAGTTTGCTTGAACAAAAGACCGTAATATGTTTCCATTATAAGACATGCCCTCTCCCCCCCTGTAATGACTTGGCCACTGTTTTCCTCAGACTGTGATGTATCTGTTATTTTCAGGCATTAGAGCTTGCGGCCAAAGCAACCGAAGAGTGTCAGTTTAAAGACTGGTGGTGGAAAGTTCAACTTGCTAAAAGCTATTACAGGTACAAGAACCCATGTTCCAGAGCAATATTTCAATTGAGTGCCGAAAGAAATCTAAGATTGGTTTGCTTTTGTTATGTGATTGGTCCAGAAAACCTACATCACTTTCTTGTCCGGTCAGATTCGAAACTAAATTTTTTGTCATTCTGCTCTCCAGACTCGGTATGTATCGTGATGCTGAGAGGCAGCTTAAATCTGCGCTACGTGATCAAGACATAGTGGACACCTACCTGTATCTGTGTAAAGTGTACAAGAGGCTCGACCAACCAGTCACTGCTATTGAAGTGTATAAAAAGGTTTGTCTTAGCATGTTATGTCTCACCCCACCCTCCCCACCCTTGTCATAGCGCTGATTAGTAGTGTCTGTCCAAACTGAGATCAATTTTCAATCAAGTGTCGATGATTTTGCTTCGCTGTGCTCTGTGATAGGTGTAGAAAATTCGCGCCATCGTCGCGACCAATCAAAAGCGGAAACTCTATCGTACCAATCCCGACTTGGTTATCCTTGTATTCCCGCGCTTCAGGCAGTTTTCATCGCTTCACTCAGAGTTCTCATAAGCTGTTTTCGACATTTCCCTTTATTCTGATTGGTGGCTGCGAAAAGTACAACATTTTGACGACCTTTCTTACATTGGTTTTAATTTTATACATTCTGCAGGCCTTGGAGAAATTTCCCGGAGAGACTACTCTTCTGACAGGAATAGCTCGCATTCACGAGGTAAAGAAACAAGTCGCAGATTATTAACCTTGCCAGAACGTGTTAATAAAAATACTTGTCCTTAATTACAAGGACACGTTTCTGGGATGTGTCCGTCAGACTTTTAGAAAAGGGACCTCCCACCTAAATAGACAGCAACGGCCACGAGAACAGAGATATACTTAGTGAAAGGAGCAATGGTCTTGTTTGCGTTTTTTTTTATGTATTTTTTTTTAACGCTTCTTCACGGTCCTCTATGAAACAAGCCAGTCGAGAGGATTTGCGCTAGGGATTGCAGAGCATCCATAAAAGTGTTATCAACTTTGTATTTCACTTGAGTTTGCTTGAAACACGGTTTTTTTTTTCCGAAAAATATTAACTCAAGGCAAGTGGCAAAAAATCAGTAGGCTTTAGACAAGTGGTCTCCATCTTCCTTTTGGAAATGTGACTTATATTTTTTGAATTGAAAGGAAAATACGTGATATTCATAACAGACTAAGAACTGTAGCAGACATGATCGTTATTGCCTTTCTTTGATGTGTCTTCAGGAGTTAAATGACATGACAAACGCCGTCAAGCTGTATAAAGAAGTTCTTCATTATGACAATACACACGTGGAGGCTATCGCTTGTATTGCAACGCATCATTTTTACACCGATCAGCCAGAAATAGCGCTCAGATTTTATCGGTAAGTTTTCGGTGTTTTTCTTAAGAGACATTTTAGAAGCTTAAAAAACCTTAAAAAAAACTTAAACCTTAAAAAAAAAAACAAAAACAAAAAACAACCAAAAAAACAAACACAACAGTAGCCGTCAAGGAACAAAGGGCAAGAGAATCTATTCCTCCAGCGTCTATTCTGCTTACTTGTACTTAGTGTTTTCTTTCAAGTTTTGACCAATAACTTTGGGTATGTACGAAAATAAATCAGTGATCAACATTTATCTCAGATCAAGAAAGTCTTTTACGGTTTTGTCGTTTTAAAGTAACCGGCGCGTCAGAAACAAGTAGCTGGTGAAAACGCAGGAATGAATACCGGTTGTTAGCCGCAACACTGAAGTGCCTCGTTGTGTGAGAAATTTTTTTAGGGAGCTAACCCTAATAACAGACAATCGTTCCTCAGCACAGACCATCTAGTTTTACTCATACACATTCTTAGTCAAACATTATGACACCGTTTTCCCCAGGGAGGGATCTGGGAAAAGAGTTCGGAGAAAGCTTTGAATTTTGTGCACAAAAATGTGCAGGAGTCCTGAGAACGAGTACCTACTGAAATTGTTGTCACAACGGACAAGAATGCTAATCAAGCTGAATTTTTCCTTTCTCAGCCGCCTTCTCCAGATGGGTGTATACAACGCAGAACTGTTTACAAATCTTGGCCTGTGCTGTTTTTTCGCTCAACAGTACGACATGACATTGAACTGTTTCGAAAGGGCGTTGGCCTTGGCTTCGGATGAAAACATGGCGGATGTCTGGTATAATATTGGTCACGTAGCTGTGGTAAAGACTCGCTTTTTGTATTAAAATTGCACAATGTGGAGAATTTAACATTTTTGTCATGTGACCCGTGAGGTTCCGCGTTCGCCTTCAGAGAAAATCATTGGACAAAAATCTCTGTTTGTAGCGGGGCATAGGATCTAGACTCTAACCTTTTTGGGCATCTTTTTGTTTCAATGATAATATTACCGAACTCTGTGTTGTGTTTTTAGGGTAGTGGTGACATTCAGCTTGCCTACCAATGTTTCAGGCTTGCTCTGGCTTCGAATAACGATCACGCCGAAGCCTACAATAACCTGGGGGTACTCGAAATGCGGAAAGGTCGTACAGAACAGGTAGACTATATGATTCGTTAGAATTATGTTTATAATGGATTAAAAGTCGCGGTGGCCATATGGTTAACAGATTGAACTCCTCAACGAGATGTCCTGGGTCGAGCCCTAATCGAATGTTTTTTGGACAAGACACTTGAATTGGTAGCAGTAAATTGTCCAGGGAACTTGATTATTCCCGAGTCCCTCGCGTTTTATTGGAATGGAGTAATAAAAATGTATGGTTTCTCTGTGCTTTGCTGTAAACATCATTTTCTCCTAGATAATAATTGTTGCTTGAATCCTTATTTAATGCGCTTTTCCAGGCCCGCGCGTTCCTTCAAGCTGCGGCGTCTCTTGCTCCTCATATGTATGAGCCTCATTACAATCATGGACTGCTGTCACTTAAGGTTTGTTATTTCATTCTTTCCGATTTGTGGTTTAAATAAAAGAAAAAGGAGTTGACAGTTGGAAACTTTTCACAAGCTTGCTTTCATTTTCCTACAAACCAGGTCCGAAATTGCGCTCAGTTGGTCATCCGATCTTGTACTCAGATCCTATCATGTAGCTGGAATGCAGAATCTTACCACCGATTGGCCATGGAGGGTCTGGGTACAAGATTACTGGTTGATAAATGCGACTGAAAGTTTACTTTTGGCGACTAGAATGTTAATGCTAGTTGCTATTAGTTTTAATTTTAATGTTCCTCATGGGAACCAGCGCTCGAAGAACGTAAATTGCCTCATTTTTTCCTGTTGAAAGCAGACGGTGCTACTTCTAATTTTCCTTTATCGCTATCCTGAAATTACCCGGCAAATGTTTTGTTTGTTTACTTTCTTCCTAACTATTTTGTATGCAATTTTGTAGATTGGAGACTTACAGAGCAGTCACAGCTCCATAACTAATTCCTTAGAAGGCTACCCGGATCACAGCGATAGTAAAGATGTCCTCAATCAACTCAAGGAGGATTTCGCCGCGTTGTGAAAAATGGACGACTTTTGCAAATAATGACTATAATATTGTACATAAAAGAAACGGCTGAACGTATGAACTTTTAAATATCATTGTCGTTTTTGTCTGACTGAATATCAAGCACAGTCTCCATCGATTCTTCCAAGAAAATGCCTTCCTCTTCTCGGACTGTTTTGAAGATTAACTCGCAATTTAGTCGCAGGGTTACCACAAATGTGGTGCATTGAAAACGGTGATGAATCATGGTTTATTTATTTGGATCACACATTAAATAATTAAAAATATATAAGGTTCCTCAAATAATGTTTTAGTGTCAGTTTATTTAGCAAAATACAATCCGTTCCCATTTTCCAACAAAGCAGGGTGCGGTCAAATTTCTTTGTTAAATCTATTTACACTAATAAGGTGCATTAAATTAGTTAAGTTAGCGCTATAAAATAACATTTTCATTTCATATCAAATACTAACATGCTCTCTCTACCGCATACACCTCCCCTCCATTTCCCTCCCCAATCCAATTGAAGCTAGTCTAGAATTTTTGACAATTCACGATTGCTAAGTTTCCAACAATTTTCAAAACAGTACAATTAAGAGATAAAATTTTAGTGCGCTACTACTTCAAATAGTGACAATTTGATGACGCAAAAATTAGGACACAACCAAACTAACGTATTCTATTTTTTTCTATGTATTAGAAAGGCGAAACTTTAATCTCAGCTGAATTTCTTTGCGGAAGTATCAGATTTGTTCTAAGTCCCTTCCGCGAACAACATGACGAGACCGCACTGCACCACCTACATCGCTTTTCTCTCTCGTCCCTTGAGACATGCGTTAACGATATGTAAGGACTGGGATGCAGTGTTGAGCTGATGTATTAGACAAAGTGACAAATTTCTCTAAGCCCTGGGTAAACAAATGAAGTTTTTCTAAGAATTAAATAGCCTATGATATAAATATTAAAATGTGAAATTATCATTATTACTTTCTGGCTTGAATGGCACAAAATATTAAAAGTCACTTTCATAAATTTATAGCTGACATTTGAGAGCGAAATTAAAATATTACCTTTCAAGATCTGCTCCTTTTGTTTAAAAGCTTACCTAGGCTAAAAACGTGCTTTGATAAATAAGGAGGTTTCTGTCTAAGTCTTTTTTTTTTTCCGTTTAATAAGACCAGAAATAAATCTGTGAGTTAAAATCTGGCCGGTGGGAAACGTAAAACATCAAATAACATCCCACAAATTTGAGCATTTTAAAGAGTTTAAAATTGTTGAAATATCTGAACCGCAAAATTCTCATTATTAAAGCATTTTAAAATTCTTCCGAAGGGATAGCTTTGCATATGTAGTTCTACAGAAAATAGAATATGGAATGATTGGCGAGGGAAAACGAGATAAGAGCGAAGCAAACTACGGCAAAAACCTCTAGCAACAAAGTTGTTTTAAGATAGAAAAAAATTACGCTAACCTGGAAAAAGCCATATTTTTACTGATCTGCGGAGCGTTTTCTGTAGCTTCTATATTCCTAAACGACCAACTTAATTTTTATCAGCCATCGGACGTCAAATGAAGCACTATAAGTACTATTAGCGGCTTTATGAGTTAATACTTTAAAACTATATCTAATAAATTTATACTAAATTTCTCTCACTGCCGCTCAAATGAACTCTGGCTTATCGCTGATGGCAACAAGTGGGCGGATGAAATCTAGGCGTGATTTGGTTGGCTTGTACCGTCGAAGTCTGAAAAAAAGTTGAAAAAATACACCTTATTGGATGGTTTACTCTTTACATGCATATTCTCCCTGCTGTTCTCTTTACATTTCCTTAGGTGTTGACAAGGAGAATTTGTTTAACAATCAAGAGCTTCTTGTGTTTGTGATCATTTCCTTTATTCTGGTAACCTTAATGTGTGATTCAGGGGTGGTATCTAAGAAGAAATTGAATGTTACACACTCTCGAGAGTCAAAGGGTGACCATAATTCGTGCGGATATTTTGCGAGTTGCGAAGTAAAAGTAGAAATATTAGAGATGTCTGTCAAGAAACAACGAGATAAAAGGGAGGGAAGGGGAGGGGGAGAAGGTAAAAACAACGGGATAAAAAGGGGGGAGGGGAGGGGGAGAGGGGTAAAAGTACAAACATTGCATAAGTCAAATGTCTGTCAAAAAAAGACGGGATGAGAATTAGGGTAGGGGTAAAAGAGGAAAAATTCCATATCTAGGAGATCCGGGCCAGAGTT